AATCATGGTTCTTCTGAAAATCATACATAATTCACAACCATAATAAGCTTACACCAATTTTCTGACCAACATTGCTTTGAAAGTTAAAAACCATACCCTTTGAACCAGCACAAACTCACATAGCTGACAGAGGAGTGGTTCACTTCACATGATCCCTCATAAGGGGAGGTCCTCCCACTCAAAGGTTTGGTACTATGCTGCACCAGTCATGTAAGCTAAAATTCAGCAAGACCAATTTGAGAGAAAGAGGAAGAGTCACTGAAAGTTGGTCAACGTGAAAACTAACAAGTCAATTTTATTATGAGTCTTTCATGTCAAATAATGCGAAACACACATTAGTTCATTTCTTGGAAAAATTATACCGTAGTGTGAGCGCTATATAGTGTATCTTGGTGAGCGCTATCGCTTCAATCTTCTCAATATACCCGAACCAGTCCCCTCGGAACGCGTTACTTCAAGATGGCGGGGTTATGCGAGATTGTTGATTAATGGAAACGTAAAAAGGGAGACTTCAAACCCATTGTCGAGGAAGCCCAATTCAACCAGTGTTTAGGACTTATTTTCGTTATCTTATGGAGTGGGAATTCGAAGTAAATGATTTGATTTGGTTTAGCGAATCAAGTGAAAATCCCTTCCGGTTTTTGGTAAAGTTTGCCGAAGGATTAGACGATCCATACAGGAGGAGAAAGCATGCCATTTCATACGTTGACGCCAATAAAGCTTTCGAGAAGTATATTACCGACTTTGGATTTTGCAGTCGAGAGGAAATTGAGGCTCTTAGTGAAGAACAAAGCCGAAGTGTTTTAGTAACAACGGAAAATCTGCACGGAGCTGCAAGTAGAGCACTGAAAGTTACAGACTTTGTTTCTGGTCTTGATCTCGGAGAACTACAAGAAAGACTTGTAGAGACATTTCTTGTTTGTTTGGATCAAAACTGGAATTACGTCATAAGCCCGTTTCAATACATAGCAACATTCGAAGCTTTACTAAAAGTAGTTTTGCGGGATAGCCCTAGCATGTCTTGGTTGAAATGGCAGTTTGACTTGACTGGCAGCTCGGTTGAAATAGCACAAGTCCCGGAAGTAAGCTATGAGGATAACATCAGTGTGGTACATGTCAATCCTGAGTATGATATCATGATGAGTGTATCGCATACAGCTTTGGGACTTGAAGATCAAGACCAGTGCATTGCCAAAACGAAATACCCAGGATATTATTTTGTGGAGGTTCCTTCATTCTCAGATGACAGTGAGGAAGATTTGTTAAAGCTAACAACATTTAGAAATTCCAAGTGCTACCTGTCTGCTGCAAAGTTCAGAAGCGAGATTTATCAAATAATTTATGACCTCAAGATGTTTTCGGATGTGGTTGACAATAAAACACCAGGAAATGAAGATTTTGAAATGAAAGTAGCACCTCATGGGCCAGCTGTTCAAATTGATGAGACATTTGAGGATGGAGATCTGTCATTATCATTTGACTTGGTTCCTGCAATTAGGTTTACCAGCTGGCCAAAATGCTGCCAGGAATGGTTGGAAAGAAAAAGAGCTTGGCCTCCACAGGATCTGGTGCAAGAAATTGTCCAAGGAGGCTTTTATCTTGTGCCAAAGGCATCTCTAGGAGGCAATGAAGAACTTGAGTGGCGCATCTCTTTCTCCACAGCTGAAGGAAAACTGATGAGAGCCAAGGGTCTTGGAAACAGAAACTACTGTTACCGCATGTTCAAAATGGCCATCAAAGAAAATATTACCTCAACTTGCAAGCTTGTTACAACTTATCACTTGAAGACTCTCCTTCTCTGGGCTAGTGAAAGGTACCCACCAGACAGATGGTCAGATGAGAATGTTGCATTGTGCTTTCTGGGTTTGGTGGATGATTTGTTACATTCTTTGCTGACTTGCTCATGTCCTCACTATTTCATCCCAGAACTGAACCTGTTTGCAAATTGCAGTACGGACCACTTGCATTCAATTGCAAGCAAAGTGTCTGCCATTCGTAAATTTCCCTTAAGATACCTCCAGAGACCAGGAGAAGATGCAAGAGCAGGTTATGATAACTTCATATCAGCAATGAAAGAATGGGAAGAAATGGACTTTCAACAAATATAAACCTTGCACCCATTTTTCCATATATTTTTAAAAAATGTACAAAATATCCAAATTCCATAGTCTACCCGTAACCCTTTAACACCCAGAAGTGATTAACATAAAACTTCTCCCTACAATATCCACACATTCTTCAGCAAACAGGCAATGAGAATATTCAAACTTGTCAGGTAGAAGCTGCTATCTTGATCTAGCATCAAGTTCTCATAACTAATTTACAAGGAAATGTGTAGCAGCTACAGGGGAGAATTAACATTCAGATCTTGGGAGTTACAGGGTTAAAAATTGCAGAAAATTGACAAAAGGACATAAAACCAGAGACGTCATTTTACTTTAGTATTAGGAGTAAGGGGTGTCCAATTGGGTTTGTGGCTATACATATAATTAAACAGAATCTAGCAACCAATACCACTAGGTGGGTGCATGTTTTGTTCATCACAGGTATGATTACCAACTGAGTTGGAAAACACAATGAAATTTCCAAGAAAAACAAACAAATGGAAAACTTGTACAAATTATGTTAAACTTTAAACAAAACTGTCGATTAAGTTATCGAATATCTTTTGCAGAGAGATTTTCTAATATACTTAAATGGGAAATGGTCAATTGTTGTCTGGGTTACTGTAATCAATTCATTGATTGATAAATTAATATGAAAGTACTCAGAATAATGCCTAAGGTTAAGAGTGATTGGTTGATTGTCTTTCTGGTGAATCAGGATTTCACTTTTTCTTTATTCATGCCCAAGTGAACAAATTTTTTATTTAATTGATACCTGTAAATGAAGAGCTGATTTAAACCTGATTCATGAGCAATTTTGTTTGGCATGATGAATTTCTGACTACTTTATTCACATGGATTGATAAAAGTTATAAAACAGACCACAAATGGTTCTTGAAAAAATAAGATAAGACGTTACATCATCTTATGTTGTTTATTAAGACTGGTCAAGATTAGGAAAAGTAAACAATTAATTTGTGAATTTGTTTTTTTATTGTAATGTGAAATGTAATCATCTCAAATTTTGTTTGAAAGTTGAAGAATTTTGGATATTATAGTGATGCCTGAAGAGGCCAATTATTTTTACATGAATGTGTTTTACACAGGGGTATAGGAGACCCTCTGAGTAGTACTGCCAGATGGGATGCTAGCTCCCTCGCAGGGTACCATCCAACATTTTGTCTGGTTTTGCTGAATGTTTACCAATTCCCAGTCACATTCTCAAGTAGAGAGATGCACTCGGAGAGTGAAGTGTCCTCTCAAAGAACACAATACAATGTCTCCATCAGGGCTTGAGCTCAAACCCCATTCCCTGGATAATTTGGTTTTATCAACTGAATTGATGATGATGTAAATTGGACACAGTAAAGGGTTTCTAAGGCTTAACTTCTTTGGCCAATTCACATTATCAACCCAATTGATAAAACCACAGTATTTTGTTATACCTCCCTCGGATGCAGCACCGCAGTTTCTTTAGAAAGTTAATAACTATATTCTCTTTCCCTGGGCCAGGTTGTTGAGAGCTGGGTTAAGATAATCAAGGGTTAGTGTGAAATTTGATTTCAGAGCTGAAAGCTTTAAAATAAATTCAGTTAAAGGCCATTTGTGTACAATTTGTTAATTGAATGCTCTAAAATGAAAAGAATTGGGAACATTATCCCCAAACAGCATTTGAACAGAGAAATATAGAAACTTGGATTAAAATTAAACCCTGGGTTAGCCCTAACTGGCTTTCAAACAACTGGGACCGGAGTCTGGCATGCAAAAGGTTAAACCAATATGTCTTTATCCCTCTTGGCAGAAGTTGGGGGGTTGATGAGGAAGATTATTAATGATATACCTGAAAGGGGTAAATCTCATATAATTTATTAGCTACATAGGTATGTGCTGCTCTAAACAGTATGATGTTTGGGTTGTTTTGGTATGGATTTGAATTCCATGGTCTTCAATATGCTGAAGTTTTTGAAGGAACCTCATGAGTATTTTAACATATTTGTCTTTTGATATTCATATAAATAATAAAAAAATAAAAATAACACAAAGATATCTTATTGAGCCCAGTTATTAATAGAGTTTTACCAATTCTTGCTTTTGTCACTAATGCAAAGCACAACCTTTTCACCCCCAGGAGTGACCAAGACAGATTTTCTCCTTACAGTATCAATACAAAATCAAGCTGACAAGTGATGAGAATAAAGAAAAATATCAATTAGGGGATCCTCAGTTCATATAATACCAAATTCTCTAAACTAACATCATATGAAATGTATGGTAGACAGTAAGGAGAATTACTATACTAGTGAGATATTGAGAATGAAAGGGTTCACAGCACCACATAAAGCATCATGGAATTTCAAACCAAATAAAACTGTTGGAATCTCAGAATCTTAGTGACTGAAATTCATTTTCTGGATCAGGTAAAGAGAAAATACGATCCACATTCACCATTGAATGTCCCTGTTCAGTGAGCTTACCTTTATAACCAGTGTATTCCTTCAAACTCTGCACCTCCTTTACAAACAATTTTATGTGAGTCCAAAATAAAGGATTCAGACCCCAAAAACGAACAGGTAGGGAACTGCTGTCGTTCTCTGGTTTATCACTCATGCAAGTAATCGTTTCGTTCCACGGAGATGATATGTATTCTTAACTTTTAACGGGGAAACATGACTACGGTTATGTTTTTACTAACAGTTAAACATTTCCCGCGCAAGTGAGGCTGGGAGTCTGGGAATTAATTTTCGTGTAACGCCTGGTCAATTTCAACAATTTCCCCTTTAGTGCGTTCTTTAGCCTCTTGATTGTAGTAAGGGTCAAAAGTCACACTTATATTGTTTGTAATACAATAGTTTTCAAATTTTATTTAAATGATATGGACAGTCCAAATACCGAAGGTATCACTCAAGCAAGACCGGTTTATCTCTCAAGTGCGTTCAACATGGAAGATGTCCCAAAGCTAGGGAGGCGACCTAGCGATGCAATATCAAGAGAGGAGCAGGAGAAGAACATGGAGGCCGCATTCAGTAAAATTCTTGACAGTATAGGAGAGGATCAAACTCGCCAGGGTTTATTAAAAACGCCCTCTCGGGCAGCGAAGGCAATTTTGTATTTTACGAAGGGATACGAGGAGACAATTTCTGGTGAGTTTTATAAATCTAGTTGAGAATTCCTTTATTTACTTGGTTTGGTAAGACTAGCAAGACCCCGATGACGGGTTAAACATACTGCGATTTCACGTTAGTAAATTAATCTTTAAAGAGTCTTTTCGTCACTCATTAAATACGCGAGTCTTATGTTAATAAATTTTGGAAAACGTAAAATACTCCAACGTAATGCCTTGCATACTGCACTAATTACACGCTTATTATTAAGAAAACATTTGAAGTGTAAAAACCATTAGAAAGTATTTAAAAAGTAATTAGCTGATTTTCTTTTCGGTATTTATAAAATTTACACTTTGTTTTGCTAATTATGGGAAGCACAGGACATGTATTTATATCAAGCTGCATGAAAAGTTCTATGGTTTATGTTACGGCATCCTTGGTGTCCAATAGGCATGGGAATACCTATTTATTCACACTAGGAAAATGCATTAAATTCAAAGAAACTTTTACCCGTTTTTACTTTTTTGTCATTTTGTTTGCATCTTCACCTACTATTGTTGATGATACAAAGAACTGCAAATGAGAAGTCAATCACTTTGGGTTGCTTCATCAGTAAAGGCAGTATAGCTCTGGAGGAAAATTATGAGAGAGGAAAGATATTTCTGCAGTACCTGAAATTTAAAAAGAAGGCCCTCTCTGTGAATATTTAAAAAAAAGATTTGAATTAAAGGATTAATTTTGTAAAGAAAATAAAAATATCCTTAAATATTTTCAGTCATATACTTAGTAAATCATGATACAAAGGGTGCTTTTTAAATTATTGATTTTTTTTGCAACCTCATGCCAATCTGGCCCTAATTTTCCTTTTGATCTGTGTTCAATGCGTTATTCTCTCTACAGATGTTCTTAATGATGCTGTATTTGATGAAAATCATGATGAACTTGTCATAGTGAAGGATATTGATATGTTCTCCTTGTGTGAACATCATTTAGTGCCATTCATGGGAAAGGTAACAATCGAATCTACTACAATTTTGACTCTCAAAAACACAAGTAATGATAGATATTTAATAATGTAATTTTTACGGAAATTCACACCATGCAACTTTTTATACACATATTCAACTGCACCTAACAACGGCTTAATATGGAATTAACACTTAAAGAAAGGCTACAGAGCCACCAAAAGTTGACTCTCAGCTATCGGCAGCTTTATTTTTCTAGATGAAGATTTGTCTTTACTTAATGATTTTTTATCTTATTGCAAGTCATAGTAAAGCTTTTATGGACTCAAATCACACATCAATCATAAGTTGGCCATTTAAATTTCGTTTATTTTTGGGACTGCCCTTCCTAAAGGTCTACTATGCATAATCCAGAATCTATAAAAGCTTTATTATAACTTACAATAAGATAAAACATCATTGAGTAAAGACAAATCTTCATCTTCGTCTAGAAAAACAGAGCCAACAAAAGTTGAATCTCAGCTATCGGCAGTTCTATTTTTCTAGATGAAGATGAAGATTTGTCTTACTTAATGATGTTTTATCTTAAATTGCAATTCATAATAAAGCTTTTATGGACTCAAATCACACATCAATCATAAGTTGGGCATTTAAATTTCATTTTTTTTTGGGACTGCCCTAAAGGTCTACTATGCATAATCCAGAATCCAAATAATATTTT